AACTTAGTACTTTTTTGAGAGCAGTAACTATAACTATTACTAGTTAATTTTTAAAAGTAACTTGCCCAACACTGGTCGTGCATGATCTGCACACCATGGCTCGTCTTCTCTACATGTTATTTTCACATCCATTTAAGACAATCAGTCTTGATGTCGGGGAAGGCCCGCAATGATGCAAAATACAAATAATTGATAATTCAGCTCACACGCAATTAAAAATAAAGTAACGAGCCCGTTTTGAAAATGTAACGGCTCCACGGATTGGTCCATTTGGTTCCGGGTACCGCATGACGTTAAGCCGTACCCGGAAGAAACATTGGACAATGACGTATCAGTGACGAATCTCCAACGAGGCGTTTTGGGGAGGTATTTTCTGTGTTAGAGTTTTACTCGCTACAGGGTGTACTTTGAGGGTTTTTGACTCTGCAGACCGTTTACATGCAGAAAAACCTTCATAACACACAAGGGGACGGGTAATAACTGGAAAAGCATGACATGGGCCGTAAAGTACAGATACCTGAAAAATCTACTTAAGTACAGTAAAAAAGTATTTCTACTTCGTTACTTCCCACCTCTGCATAACTGTATTAGGTTAGTTGAAATCAAGTTGAACCTAATTTTTATTTGACAATATATTATTGCTTTCAACAAACCTAATGCAGTTATATGAAATCTGTTGACATAATACACTTAATTCTAGACAACATTTCAGTTTTTCCAACCAACCAATCCGTCATTAGAACCGCGCCACTAGCCTGGTTAAACATTTGGTGCTCTAAAACAATGTCTTCAGTTAAAGCACCTGTAGGCATCTATCAGCATGGAGATGAGTGACTGGTACTAACCCTCTCTCGGAGTGCCCTCTCTTTGCGTTCTTGTAGAGTGGACAGGTAGTTGACAGCAGCGTACTCGATCACCGACAGGAAGACAAAGACGAAACTGACCCAGAGGTAAATGTCCACAGCTTTTATGTAGGACACCCTGGGCATGGAGGCGTTGACTCCAGTGATGATGGTGGACATGGTGAGCACCGTGGTTATACCTATAACAGGATCACAAGTTCTAACAACAACACCGACTATCGTGGAAATGTATCATTTTAGTGTCATTCAGTAATATTTTGCCCTGGCTGAGCCTCCGAGGCTTCTTCATACCTTTACCTTTAAATACACGTTCTATTTCTGTTAGCTTTCAACAGAGTGTCGCCTTGACCATTGTCAGACAATAATCATGTGGATGTTAGGTGTGTAATTAGTTACCATGCGTGATGTCTCTGCTCCTCTGTCTACCATTCAATAGACTGTAATGTATGTAATATTGCTTTGATTGGCTGTATCCGTCCCCTTCCTGTATTTCTGTATACGTTTCTTGTCTTTTTTTTATAACTGGTGTCAGATGTTGTGACACGAGCTGCTGCAAACATCTGCCCTTCCAGCTGGAAAATATTGATTCTGTTGAACGCTTTGACTTTTGACTCTATTAAATAAAACAACTTTGTCTTAAACATTTATCTTTGTTCATTTCTTACCAAAAGGGGATTTATTGTGGAACTCCCTCCACACTAACTAGTAGCCCAGCACTCTCACCTAGTGGCACCCTGGCAGGGACGGCCCTGCGGTCGATCCAGAAGGACACCCATGACAGCATGACCATCAGAGTGGCAGGGAAATAGGTCTGTAGCAGGAAGAAGAAGACATGGCGGCGCAGGGTGAAGTTGATGTACAGACGGTTGTACCAGCCTGGAGGAGAGAAGAAGTTAGAAGGCATACAGCGCTACTTCAAGCCTAAATTAAAAGACGGCTCTGGACTTTGGTCGGTACCTGTGCTGCTGTAGAAGGCCAGCTTGGTGGTGGTGTGGAACTCTTGGATAAGGAACTGGGAGAGAGATATTTTTTCGTCTGTGTTTAATGACCTGTTCCCTTTCTTCCAGTACAGCATCAGGTCATCATCTGTGTACGCATCTGGAGAGACAAAGAGCAAAATGAAATATTGTGATGTTCATTTTATAGTATAGTTTATATGAAATAACACCAGGGTGACGAGTGACATGCAGTGAGAACACACTGAAAAAACGTTTTTCTTTATCTAACCTAATGCAGTTATATGTGAAATCTGTTGACATAATACATTTAATTAAAGTCAACGTTTCACTTTTTTCAGTGCATGCTCCACAATCTCTAGCAATTTAACATTTTATTGATCTAAAACATGACACAAGGAGAAATATCTCACTGCTTCTGCAGCTATGACTTTACATCAGTCACAGGAAGGATGTGAGGGGTGACTGCAGAGGACAGGGAAGGCCACATGGAGCTGATCACAGCCGTCACTTACAGCTCTCGATCTCCAAAGAGCATGTCTGCGTGTCCAGAGGGAAGCGACTCAGGTCCATGCTGCACATGGATGTGACTGTCACCCTGCAAGACAAAACGAAGCTGTAAGGATATGACACACAAGTTTGGTGTGTGAGTAAAGTCATATTTATATCATTAAGAATAACAACTTCTCTCTAACTATATCTGTGTATGACCTGTACAATAAAAAAATAAAATATGAGAGTATATAAGATCTTTTACTTGCACATCCTTATGTGAATGAAGCCCTCCAAACCCTAAACCCCTTTAGCTTCTTGCTTCTTATGTTTTTTCCAAAAATGTTAGGGACTGATCGCTTGCCAGTCTCTTTTATTCTTTTTGTCCCTGTTCCTTTCTCTGTGCTTTTGGATGTGTGCTTTGGGGCTTTTTGGTGCTGGAGGACCCATGATCATGACAACAGGGACTAAACTCAGAAACTAGTTATCTTTGCATTTCTGTTTGCCTTTCCACTGTATGTGAAAACTCATAAAGATGAGGTGAATTAGTGTTGGACAGATTAGAGAAGACTACATCAAAACGTCGTTTATAGCTACACTATGTATGGTCAATGTGCTGAGTTGTGGCTAAATAGTTGCAAAGACGGTCAGTGGTAGATTCCTAATGTTCTTGCTTTCAAATGTTTATTTGAAATGTTCTGTAAAGCCCAGTAACATTTGTTTTTTAAGTGTACTGAAGTAGCATCCCACACATACATTTATACCAACCAAAGCTTGAACATTATTGCAAACAAATGTGCAGAGTAAGAAAACCAGTGGACAGCTATGGATGTTGTTAAGATGACTGATTGTGGAATGTCCCCTCTTCACTCACTCTGTAAATCAGGGACAGAACTGAGGGCTTAAGCCAAAAGTAAAGATTTTTCAAACAAGCAGAAAGAGGATTTTTTTTCTGGTTTGAAAGAGAATTCGAAGTTCCGCTCCAAAAAGTGACACATTTATTTTATTTTTTGTGTCGGGCTGCATGCCCCATGAACCACAGGTTTTCTTCTCTGCTCTGCAACAGCTGTTTGCTGTTTCTCTCAATCGCCCCATTCTGAAGCGACTTCACTACTTTTATGACGAAGTAAACAAGCCTTCATGTGTCTCTCTTTATGCGGCGCTATACTCACATCCCCAGCCAGGACTGTGAGGGAGACTCAGTTAGAGCAGAGCAGTCTGTTGCTTGCAAAGCCAGGTCTGGAAAATGGTTTGAATTAAATGATTATATTTTAATTTGTATCAACAGTGACACAATTGCGCAGCTAGCTGTATGTATGGCTTGGTGTATGTTAGGCCCTGTCTGTGTCTATTGACAGATGTTAGTGTAACAGGTAAAGTGCAGGAGACAGGGGAAGATGTTAACATCTCAAATCTCAGAACTTGTGAACAAAATGAACAGACCATATTGACTCATTATTGTCAAACTGTATGAAAAAACTGAAACGTCAAATTTAATTAAATGTATTATGTCAAAACATTTCACATAACTGTATGAGGTTAGTTGAAAGCAATAATATTAATTTGGACCTATTAAACTTAATATAAAGGACCATTGTTGACATAATACATTTAAT